ACTTGACGATGGCATTCTTTTATCTCGACCGCACTCGGCAAAGGACCCAGCTTCCGCAGAGACATGAACTTCTCCACCCCGCCCCACGTGAAGCCCCCCCTGTCGCCACCCGACCCCGCCGCGGCCTTGACGGCCTTCTCGAAGCAGTCCTTGGCCGCATTGTAGAGGTCGCACATGCGCGAGTCGATCTGTTTGTCTCACGACGTGGGAATGGGCATCTCATCCTCGGGCGCGACAGTGGCCGTGTCGGGCGCCCCGGCCGCCTTGGCCGCTCTGGCCGCTGATGGGATGGTGGGGTGGGGGATTCTGCGGCCGTTCTTTGTTCCGTCTGTGGCGGTTTGGGGATGAAGGCGTGTGGGTCATCTCGGGCGGTGGCTCGGTCACGACGTCCGCTTCATGTGCCGTCCCAGCATCGGTGGAGGCGTCGTCCACGCCACACGTGCGGCCCCGCTTGAGGAAGTCGTCCACGTCCCTCTTGACGGTGCGGATGTGCTCGAGCAGAGAGGTCACTGAGGGGTCCAACCGGGCGTTGAGCTCATCGAGGTCATAGAAGGGGTCCAGGCCAAGCAGCCCTCTGTCGCCCCCGCCCAGCCCGTCAGAGCTGCGGGCGCTGGCGATGGCGATGCGCTCGATGATCAGACGAGACGCAGCAGGAAAGTCAGACACTCGCATTCTGGGGCAGGCATTCCTGGCACGAGAGTGTGGGGTCAGGCATGCTGGCGCACTGGGCAACCTCCAGATCGGCTGCTTAGACGCGGTCGCATATCCTGGGGTGGCTCTGGTGGTGAGGGGAGGGGCGGTATGGTCTTGAAAAATGTGCTGAGCGACGGGACTTGACGACCAGCTGCACAGAGCCCTCAATGGCCGTTCTTGTTCGCCACACACGCGCCGACCCAGGACCACATTTGGTTCCACAATTGTCGGCAGCAGCCGCACACTCACCCTGGTACCGTCCAGATAAATGCCCACAGTCGCTGCCACCACGTCATTGGGGGAGGTGGCACCAGACGTCCTCCGCTGCGTGGGGTCGACGCACCGGATGCCGCTTGGCTGTGGGCCGGCGAGGCGGGCTGGATGAGGGGCGAGGAGGGGATCGGTGTGGGGGAGCCGCTCGGCCGGAAGGCCAGGGCGAGCAAAGGAGGTTGCGCTGTGCAGGGCGGGGTGGTCGGTGAAGTCCCAAACTCCTCTGTATTATTGAGCTCTGTGTGCATCCATCGATAGCATACGAACGTCAATGGGCAAGTACGTCTTGCCTTACGAGAGAAGTCGGGCATCCTGAGGTTGCACATCCACGGCGGAAGAGGGGGCGTTCGGCTCCCAGCTGCCTCACTGGCCTCCGAGGGCTCACGGCTGACACCACCTTTCTTGCCGCCGCCTGAGCACACACAGAGTAATTCGCAGCGGCATGACGTAGGCATCCAGTCTCCCATGCAGCTAACCCCTTGACGAATTTGATGACAATTCCTCAATGCGACCCCGAGACTCTGACGCCAGAGAGCGACACACACCCACCTGCGGCAACTCTACTACATCGGCGTCACATCTTACGTTGCATTGCATCAAGCAAGAAGGCCTGTCTGGCGAATTCTGGGTTGGCCTGCATGAACAGACCTGCGGACGAGCGAAGAGCGAGGAGGGGGTCCATACAGAGTCCACACCCGCAAACGGGGTCCGCTCAAGCCTTTCCCTTACCGGCCTGTCGTTCGAGGTTGCGGAGGCCTCTGGTGAAGAAGTTGTCCCTCCTCCTGTCCCTCTTCTCAATTTCGATCACCAAGGCCTGCACACGAAGGAGGAAGACGTGGAGGAAGGGGGGATGACACATGGGAGGAGTGAGATCGGTGCTTGCCCTTCGTTCGTCCTCTGGCGTTGGTTCCGGCTCCTCGATAAAAGACGTCATTCTCTTCGATGACTGACACGCGTGTTGTCACGTCTTCTCGTGTGACTCGAGTGGTCTTCCTTTTCTAGGCTTGCAGCCGTTGGGTTGCCGTTGGACGATCGAGTCGACGAGGAATTTCGGCCGATAAGTAGGTTTTCTTGCCTTACTTCTCTGTTGAATGGACTTTCCAGACTTGTCATTCACATGCAGTGTCATGTACACACAAAACATCCACGTAAAAATGGCCCAAAAAGCAGAGTGACGGCAGAGACCTTAACTGAACACACTCGATCTTTCCCACCCTAAAAAAGCACACCCAAGCCGACCTGCCACTTCATCGAGCGACCTAAGAATAGGACCTTTTCACACCGAAAGAGAGAAAAATCCTGTCCTCTCACCCTCGACATGCAAAACACCAAGGCGACTTGATCACGGAAGGCAAAATATGTAAAAAAAAAAAAACCCTTCCCCGAGGGTCAATGGAGCAAGAGGCACTGCAGAATGAAAAGGCGCAAGGCGCTGCAGCTGGATGACATGCCGCACTCAGCCACCGCCTCGCTCAGCCGCACGCACGCGTGACAAACGCGACGCCGCTCAAACATTTCTCGCTCCGCGCGACCGCCGCTCTCTCTGCTGCTACGGCCGCCTTGGCTGCTGTTGCCGCTGATGGTATGTGTGGGGCGGGGTGTGGGGCTCTGCGGCCGTCTTTGTTCCGTCTGTGCCGGTCTGGGGATAAGAGCGTGTGGGTGGACGGGGGTGGGGGTCACCTCGGGCGGTGGCTCGGTCACGCCGTCCGCTTCATGGGCCGACTCTGCATCGGTGGAGGCGTCGTCCACGCCACACGTGCGGCCTCGCTTGAGGAAGTCGTCGCTTGACGGTGCGGATGTGCTCGAGCAGAGAGGTCACGGAGGGGTCCAACCGGGCGTTGAGCTCATCGAGGTCATAGAAGGGGTCCAGGCCAAGCAGCCCTCTGTCGCCCCCGCCCAGCCCGTCGGAGCTGCGCGCGTTAGCGATGGCGATGCGCTCGATGATCAGACGAGAGGGAGCAGGAAAGTGAGACACTCGCATTGAAACCCTGTGTGGGGCAGGCATGCTGGCGCACTGGGCGACCTCCAGATCGACTGCTAAGACGCGGTCGCATATACTGGGGTGGCTGTGGCGGTGGGGGGGAGGGGCGGGATGGTCTTGAGAAATGTGCTGAGCAACAGGACTTGACGACCAGCCGCACAGAGCCCTCAATGGCCCTTCTTGTTCGCCACACACGCGCCGATCCAGGAGCACATTTGGTTCCACAACTGTCGGCGGCAGCCGCACACTCGCCCTGGTACCGTCCAGATAAATGCCCACAGTCGCTGCCACCACGTCATTGGGGGAGGTGGCACCAGACGTCCTCCGCTGCGTGGGGTCGACGCACCGGATGCCGCTTGGCTGTGGGCCGGCGAGGCGGGCTGGATGAGGGGCGAGGAGGGGATCGGTGTGGGGGAGCCGCTCGGCCGGAAGGGCAGGGCGAGCAAAGGCGGTTGCGCTGCGCAGGGCGGGGTGGTCGGTGAAGTCCCAAAGTCCTCCGTATTACTGAGCTCTGTGTGCATCCATCGATAGCATACGAACGTCAATGGGCAAGTACGTCTTGCCTTACGAGAGAAGTCGGGCATCCTGAGGTTGCACATCCACGGCGGAAGGGGGGGCGTTCGGCTCCCAGCTGCCTCACTGGCCTCCGAGGGTTCACGGCTGACACCACCTTTCTTGCCGCCGTCTGAGCACACACACAGGGATGGCAATGGCATGACATAGGCATCCAGTCACGCGTGCAGCTGACCTCTTGACGAATTTGATGACAATTCCTCAATGCGACCCCGAGACTCTGACGCCAGAGAGCGACACACACCCACCTGCGGCAACTCTACAACATCGGCGTCACATCTCACGTTGCATTGCGTCAAGCAAGAAGGCCTGTCTGGCGAATTCTGGGTTGGCCTGCATGAACAGACCTGCGGACGAGCGAAGAGCGAGGAGGGGGTCCATACAGACACACCCTCAAACGGGTCCGCTCGAGCCTTTCCCTTACCGGCCTGTCGTTCGAGGTTGCGGAGGCCCCTGGTGAAGAAGTTGTCCCTCCTCCTGTTCTCCTCAATATCCATCATGAAGGCCTGCACAAGAGGAAGGAGGAAGGGGGCGCGTTGTCCTTCTCATCGTGGAGTGAGATAATCATTGGGGCTTGCCCTTTGCTCCTCAAGCGTTGGTTCCGGCTCCTCGATGAGCGACGTCATTCTCCTTCGATGACTGACGCGTGTTGTCACGTTCTCTCGTATTTCCACTCGAGTGTTTCTTCCTGTAAGCTAAGCTTGCAGCCGTTGGGTCGCCGTTGGACGATCGGAGTCGGCAACGAGGAGGAATTTCGGCCGATAAGTAGGTTTCCTTGCCTTACTTCTCTGTTGAATGGACTTTCCAGACTTGTCATTCACATGCAGTGTCATGTACACACAAAAACATCCATGTAAAAATGGCCCAAAAGCAGAACTGACGGGAGAGGGCTTCTGAACACACACAATCTTTCACACCCTAAAAGAACCACAACCAAGCCGACCTGCCACTTCACCGAGCGACCTAAGATAGTAAGTATAGGGCACTTCCACACCGAAAGAGAGAAAAATCCTGTCTTCTTCCCCTCGAGATGCAAAACACCAAGGCGACCTGATCAAGGAAGGCCAAATGTGTGCAAAAACCCTTTTCCCGAGGGTCAATGGAGCAAGGGGGACTGCAGAATGAAAAGGCGCAAGGCGCTGCAGCTGGATGACATGCCGCACTCAGCCACCGCCTCGCTCAGCCGCACGCACGCGTGACAAAGGCGACGCCGCTCAAACATTTCTCG